CTACATGTTTCAATGGTTAAGATTTTTGTAATACTAAGGATTCTATTCGCTTATAGTATGATATATTATTATATAACTTTATTCCAACCTTCTTTATCTTATTGTTTTATTTTTATAAGTTTATTGTCTTTCTTATAGACCTACAAATAAGATTTTATTTATTTCGAATTACACAAAAAAAAAAAATATAATTGGAAATTTTTTGATTCCGTAACGATAAGATATTTATTTGCCTTTTTGTCTCTCATAAACTCTTATAATTACAAATTTGTTATTGTAAGTTTTCCGAAACATGTGCGTGCATTAAATCTATTTATAAGTTATTTTATTTTATATTATTGATGTTTTTTTTGTAATACTTTATTAATTATAATTGCGAATTGCTAGTATCTCGTTAAAAGTGATATTTAAATAGCCGCAACGTTAATATTGGATTTTATTATATTAATTTATATTCATCTTTATAGACATCACGTGTTTGATAGGTTGAATTCAACATTAGAAACAATGGACACAGAATTTTTTTTTTTTTTTTTTTCTAAATCCATTTTTATTCGTACGTTCATCGACTGCGAATACCCCAAAAAATTTTCGTTAAAATATCTCAGAGATACAAACTAGGATTGAAAAATTTGATCTTTTTTCTTGTAGATTGATGCAATCACAATGCTGAAAAGGTTACAACATCGGTTAAGAAGATTCTGGAATACAGCAAAAAAGCAGATAATTTCCGGTAAGTTTAATTTATTAATAAATATAAGTTGTAAAAGTAAGTATTTTATTAGAAAAATGTTCTTGATCCATATCATAAGTTCATCTTTTAGCATCTACTACTTAAAATGAGAAAGGAATAAATAAATATATTTGTGACACGAACCGTTAAGTTTATAAGAAAATTTTGCCGATAATGAAATATTTTAGAATCTTATTGATAATAATAACACACAAATAATTGAAGATTTGGAAAAATCGCGGCGATCATAAATTCATAATTTTAAATGAATATTTACTTCGTTCAAAACAATCTTATAATGTCTCCAGATCTGTGAATACGTATCAACAACATTCATACAACACACATCAATTTTATAACCTCAATGGTTGATCATAGAATTTAACGATACTTTCTTTTTTACAATTCCTAACAAATATATTTATTAATATTTAATTGTAATAAAATTTTAATTATTTTTTTTTTTTATTTTTTCTTCGTCTTTCGGCTTTGATTCATTGACTATCAATTTCCATTTTATATATTTCACATCACAACTTCTCGAAATCATCGATTGACATTTGAACCTCATCTATCAGGAAATTTTTCCACATGGAAATCCACATCGAAATCCGAATAGTTCTAATATTTTCCAAATCCTGTGGTTAGATCGATGTGAATCCGCATAAGATATATGGGAATGTATGTAATTCCACATATTTCCGAATTAATCCATAGCATGTGGAGTTACATGATCTTTAACTGCGAAATATATACAAGACGTCTTTTGATCGAAAGCACTCATTATTTTCGCCCAACTACGCACGTCGTTGTTTTTGTATAAGCTTTTTATATTCTTCATTTTCAGTATTTAAACGTTTATTAACAACTGAGGTTCTTCTCTTCAAACTTTTAAATAGGTCGGCCAAATAAATTTCCCGAAACATGCTTTGTATTATCCTAAGACCGTATCGGCAATTAGTCCCAACGATTATTCGGTTCGAGTGCCGAATAAGTGATTTATCCGGTTTCACATGATTTACAATACGTGATCAAATACCGAATATTTTGAAAGGAGGATTTCAAGAATTTCGGTGTTAATGTTGAAGAATCAATTTCGCTGCATTTGGAAATGGTTATGAACATGTTCAATTATAAAATTTTGATTAAGCCCAAAAATTTTTAAGAAAATTGTTATTTGCTTTGGACTAATGATACGAGAGAATGCGATCACATAACAAATTTTTTTTTTTTAAAAGAAAAAAAGCATTGTATTTACGTCTCAAATAATTTAATATCGTGATTCGTGAAATAATTATTAATAGATTGATTTAAAATCAGAAACTATTAGTTACTACGAACATAACTGAGGTTTTTTCGGAATAAAACTAGCATTTATTCGGAGTTATTACAGAAATTGTCTTAATACTATTTACTACAATATTTCTCTATTTATAATAGTTGAATAAATTTGTATTAATTGGAAGAACATTTGTGAGTCAAGAAAGAAAATCTAAATTGTAAATGTTTGTCCGTGTATATAACATGTTGCTCCGGAATTTATAAACTTCAAATTATGGAAATTATTCAATTTGGTATTAGACTTTAAGTGATTGGATATTAACGATATAGATATCGTGTATATCATGCCCGAAATCATACATTATTATGTTTGATAATTTCATCGATACGATATACAGACATACAGTATACTATGATGTATAATACGAAAATTTTTGTAATGTACACAAAAGTGCATGCCATTAGAAGTTGGATATTTCAAGTTTAAGGAAACAAGTTTAAGAGGAAAAACGAATAATCCGAATAATCCAAATGCGTATAATAAGATACTTTTGTTTACTAGCCACAATTAAAATTTACGGTATATTTGTCTCCTGAATATTGAAACAAATTAAAACTCTTGTGCTTTAATTCTTCTCGATACGGGTACAGTTACACACACAGACCACCTGCTGAGCCGCTTGGATCATTAATGTAGATCAACATTTTGATTAAGCAATTAAAAAAAAACATTTAATAAAAATACAATTTATAAAAGTAATGTATGTTCCCATTTATATTGATATTTCAAAAATTCTGATGTTCATGTTCTTTCATACATGATATTATCATATTAATAAGCGAAGGGAGAAAACCAATTGGTTCCAAGACGATAAAAAAAATAACAATAGATTTCCTTATTAAGAATATCTGAAACATAATTTAATGATACATATTATATTTCCATACCTGTGAATAAAAAGTTTGTTAGTGATGATATCATGAACAATTCTAAAAATTCTACATCTTCACATTTTCTATTCCTGATATAGTTAATAAAATAAGACGATTTTTCTTTTGTGTCATGTAAATAAAAAATTTTTTGGGGCAAAGATATTATCTGATTTCATTACAAAAAGATAAAAAAAAAATTTTTTTTTTTTATTTCAAAAGTTCAGAGTACAGCAGTGGACGGGGTAATTCATATGATAAGCTATTAAGTTATAATAATTTTATAGTAATAAATTGTCAAGCTTTTCTTTTATTGCATCTCAATTAATATCAAATTTTTGGTGTACTGTACTTAGGTTCATCATTGAGAAAAAAGGCTTTATTGGTCGGATTCGCTATTTGATCTTTTCCAAAACAAACAAAAAAAAAAAATTAGAATTTAACAAATTTGGTTAATCATTGATAAGCCAATATTGGAATATCATTTAGAAGCAACAATGAACCCATTTATATCAACATCAATTTTGAGGGCCATTATGGTGAGAAAACTAGATTTTTGATAAATAATTTAGGGTTAAAATAATTCTGGGGTTTTTTATTCGTTATTCATTACTTTAATAGTTTAATTAATTGTTAAAATGTTTCAAGTAAGAATTGTTTAAAAAGGGTAATTTGTGACATTGATATGTTCTCATAAATGGTAAATCCTTGAAAGTCGTTCCGATCTCCGATTATCTGTTTAACGTTTTAACGTTTATCGTTTCCCAATTGGATTAATCCATTTTTTAATCTCATATTTCACAAACAATTACGCATGTGTATTTAAAATAAAAACTTCAAATCCTGAAAGGAATAAATCTCCTTATCTCTCACTCATTTACATATGTTGGCGCAGTAAGTGATAGAAATTACTATATATTAATTTACATCATGCATACAGTAAGTATCATTATTTGTATTATGCCGAAAATGCACATATTAAATTTTGGGAACTTGTTTTTTATAATAATTAATGTTGAGAAGTATAAATGGTAATTTATTAAATAATAATACGTTTATATGTTACATAAATGCTTTTTATTATCTCTATCGGATCGGATTTTCCACAAAATTTGCAGAATTTTAATGTATGATGATTGACGTTATATATAAGAGTATTGTAAAAAAAATTTTTTTTTTCGTTCAAATATTTAATAAACAAAAAAAAACCCAAATTTTATTTTACAATATATATAGGGTATATAACATGTTTACGTATATGCAAGTATAAAAAAATTTTTTTTTTTTATCGAAAGAATGTCTTCAAATTCATTAATGCAAGTTCCTACTGTTACCAAGGACGCCGATTCTTTTACACAATCTCCTTCATCAACNTTTCATTTAAATTTTTAATAATCAATCGGATACAATTTTCTTTAACTCCGAAAATTTCATATATAAAAATGTACATTCTTTACATTCCCATTAAAAAAAATTAAAAAAAAAAAACTAAAAAAATTCCAAATATTTCAAATAAACCTTATTTTTTTTTATCGAAAGAATGTCTTCAAATTCATTAATGCAAGTTCCTACTGTTACCAAGGACGCCGATTCTTTTACACAATCTCCTTCATCAACTAATAACGAACATGTCAAAACCAAATCAAAATATAGAATGAGAATTTGCGATGCACCGCCGGAGATACTAGAATTAATAAGACGTTCAGAAACAAAAAATGAACAACCGTTACAAAATAAATCCAGTGTTTCTAATGTCGCCTCGTTCGGTCCTGGTAGTAGACCAAGCGCCAACATATTCGCTTTAAAAAACGGTTCAACGCCACGAGATGATTTACCAATATCATCCTCATCATCATTGAATTACGGTTCGTCCGGTATATCATATACTCCACCATTACCAAAAAAACGTACCGTCAAAACCAAAACAACAAAAACATCAACATCCAAAATTAAAGCGAAGACAAAAAATTCAACATCCAAAATTAAAGCGAAGACAAAAAATTCAATTTCTAAACAACATAAAAGAAGAGGTAAAAATAATAGTTTTTATAGAGCTATGGCGTATAACGGTATAACTCCTACGGTTGTGGCAGGAAAGATAAAACCGACTCGTATACCAATTCCTCCTCCTATGAAAATTGAAGATTTGATGAAGAAAATTGCACAGCTAAATCTTGATCAAAATATACTGAAAAATATAACACCAAACATCACATGGAAGGGGAACCCTCTGTTTATAGGAAATTCAATTCACTACGATCTATTACATCCAAAAGAAGCTCTCGTGGCTTCAACTTTACGTCTCACGCCTCTTCAATATTTAACCTATAAATTAATTTTAATTTCATCTGCAAGAGGTTATTCGCAACGATCATTCCCGTTTCGTAAGAGTGACGCACAAAAACATCTGCCAATAGATGTCAATAGATCAAGTAAATTATGGGAATGGTTTACGCAAACCGGGTGGTTAAAAACTGAAATTTTATTATAAATTAGATTCTATTTTTTTTTTCTTTTATTTCGTTTTGAAATTGTAGGTTAATAATTTTTAATTAAAATATTATAATGAATCATAGGTTAAATCTTTAAATTTTACTAAAACAAAAGTAATTTTTATATATTGTTTGTATAAAAGTTAGTATTTAAGGTTAAAATCATAGTAATGATAATATATGTCAAAATAAATTATAATAATAAATTTACTAAGAAATTTAAGCTGAAATTTTTATCCGATATATACGTCAATTATTATGTTACAAAGGTTACTTTGTTACAATTTCTGGAATCATGTTTCACTGTCCCAACCGAGATATGAAAATCAATTAAATTTTTTAGTGCTATTATTTATTGAGTATATTTACTATTGTTACTATAATGATTGAAACTTCTCAAAATAATGTTATAAGAAATCTTAATAATAAAGAAATATAAATATGATTTAATAATAATATTTATAATTGTATATTATTTAAATTTATATTCAAAAATAAATGAATAATCTAAGGTTATTTCTTGGTTTTTAACCTCTTTCCCTTACCCAGGTTTGTAATTATATATACAGTATATATTTTACTATATTATCTATTAATATATATATATATATATTTAATAATTTTTCCTTCAGTTATTTGGTTCTATTATATTTTCAATTAAATAAAGGAAGAGTTGTTGAAGAATTGATTGATTAACTAAACTAATATAATAACATAGTTAAGGTATGATGGATATAGGATCAGGATAATGTATTAGTTACTAAATTTTACTTTTTCATTTAGGAAAAACATTTTTACTCTTAATTATGCAAGATTATGCGTTGACTTTGAATATCAAATTTTTAAGAATATATATAATAAATCAGATTCATAATTACTACAAATTTTTGGTCCTCATCAGACACAGTAGGATCGTCTCTCATGATATAGATGATGTTATAAAAAATTTGATGAATATTTCATTCCATATCTGAGGGAAAGTTTGAGCAACAAAAGTCTGCAAGGGGTTAAGGCCACTTTAAGTTTCCATAATTCCAAAAGTTTACTTCTCACAGATTTCGTCAAGTGGCATTCACTTAGGTCTAAATTTTTAATGTCTTTTCTTTTCTCAAGACTTTTTTCCCAGATTTCGTCAACTAACTCACGAGGACAAGCCCAGTAAAAATTAAATGTTAATTCCGTCAATCGACAATTTAGAACAAGGTATGTATTTGCTTTTTGATAAAATCATTATTAATTATGAATCAAATATTAAATAGAATTTACTTTTTAATATTAATGATATATGTAGAAAATTCTAATGTAAGTCACCTCATTTTTCAATACAAAATATCCTGGACTAGATTACTCTAAAGAACAACTATTAACGTGGAAGGATCATCAAAAATGGTTAGCAGTACTTTCTACTTCACAGACTGCACGTACTTTTCGGCAACGTTTTGTTCAGTTTCCAGAACTTGATATGGCTACTATGCAAACTTGGAACTTCACAAGCAGTGGCTAGTGGAGTTCCTTAAGTTGTGCTAATGGCTAGGTGTATAGATTATAATTGCATAATAGTCTTCAAAAGTTCATGTTTCAGGGAAAGCTAAAAGTACGCCACTTGAAAGTCTTTCAGAGGAATGTATACGTTTACGTGCACTTTTAGAAATATGATGAGATGTTTATAATGCAGATGAGACAGGCCTTTTTTTTTGAATGGAACCAAATCAAATACTTAGTACTGGATCAGTTGCTTTTTTTGAATGGAACCAAACCAAACACTTAGTACTGGATCAGTTGCTGAACGTAAAAAGGTAAGAATATTTTAATTTTATATTATAAAATATATAATAAAAAAATTTAATTTATTATTAGACATTGATTTTTTATTTATTTATTGAATAAAAGCTGCTTTTTTGCGCTAATGCTACAGGCTCTCATAAATTTTATCCTATTGTAATTGGATTCCGAATTAAATATAGATGATAATGGAATTGAAAATCTCCTAACATGATGTAATAGAATATTTTAGGATACTTGATCATGAAAATTCCGACCTTACTGATGAAGAAATTATTAATTTGGTACAAGCTGATTGATTCAGTTGATGATGAAATACCTGCAATATCAGTAAAAAATCAGTTAGTGAACTGGAAACTTTTATTATTAAATTTTTGAACAAAATGATATTGAATTTAATAATAAAGATTTACGCAGGTAGTTAGAGTAAAAGAGTTTAATTCGAAAAGCAAAGTACACTTAATTTATTTCTTAATGATTGTGGTATGGAATAATTATATTTTTTTTTTGTGTTTTAATGTAATAAGGGTAATGCAAATTTTATTTTTACAGTAATAATAAAGTGGGTAGTTACTCGTAATTTCTCAAAATAAGGTATAAGTTGTACGTGTTTTTTTTGTATACGCGATCATGCAAGTTAAAAATGTGTATTAGGGAGTGGTGGGATGGTGCAAAAGCATTTATTATTGAAAGTTAACAATGATTTCAGTTACAACAAAATTTCATGAATTTTCATTCAATTATTACAATCAAAGATTCCGTCATTAAAAGGTAATAATTTAAATCTACGCGTTAATAATAATATATGATAACTTAAAAAATGACAAATTTATTAAATTTATTAATATTTTATTTAAAAATATATAATAAAATTTTTTTGAAAATTATCTATCCATGAGACTATATCTTACTATTATTTATAGTCACACCTAGACACCTAGTAAATGATGTGATTATAAAGGGTCGACTGTATAACATCTTTTTTAATTATGTCATTATGTCACTGTTACCACCGGTTTCTGACGTTCGGTAGGTAGTAACAGAAAGACATATAAGGATCGGTTAATAAATGGCAGGGTAATATAACGATGTATGACAAGCGATAAGGTAAAAGTGTATACGGATAAACGATAATAAACGATGTGTTAGATAATTAGATTGAGGGTAGATCGGGGGGTGTGTGTATAAAAACGATTAATGATATTAGTATGTATACGGATAATCAATGGTGTATAACAAAAAACTAACAAATGATAATAAATGATAATGATAATAAACGATAATAAACAATAATAAACAGTGTGAGTGAAAAAACGATAAAACGTATATCGGCAGGTTTATTAACAATTGAACAAATACGATATTACTCGCTCTGTAATATCCGTATAATCTATCTGTTGAAAATAAAATCTATACTAAACTTAAACTTAAAACTAACTACTCCAACTGCACATCCAACAACGGTCCTTTTTATATTGTTAAAAATCTGGTGCAATATCTGTCTAACAGAATTGCCACCCGGCCAATTGTGGCGATCTGGGCATATTTGTCTATACAGCCAGCCACCTATATTCTATCTAATCACTAAATAACTAAAAATAACTAAAGATAACTATATGTAATATAACTAAAAATAAAAAAATAAAAATAAAGGATAAAAATAGATTAAAAAAAAAAATAAATCCCGTGACATCACAATATCTTATTATTTACTATATACTGCGCCTAGACTAAATAATCTTTACAATTGCCTATTAAAACTTTCTGTATATGTTAATATTTTTGTATTTTTCTTTAAAAAGATAGTTTTTTGTTAATAGTGTCTATTATTTTGTAAACTATCAATGGCTATTTTAGAATATGTCACGCTACATTGATATATTTTGTACGAAATAAATTTTTATTCCACGAATCTTTCTGATGACATCAATAATTTCGATAATCCACATCCTTATTTAAATATCACTACGGAATCTAAAATCTTTTTTAGGAAAAAAATTTTATTTCTATATTCTCGAAAAACTTTAATTAATAAAAAATAGTCTAAATCAATCGATATAACCAGTTTTCGCGCTGAAATTAAATTTTAATGTACTGTAAATTAGTTTGAAATTAATATTGTTCATATTATTTGTAGTGTTTCTCATGAATGAGTCATGATTGTGCATACTAAAAATATAAGAACATTTAAACTCTCAATACCTAGGCAATTAAGTCGTCCTTAAAAGTATTTGTTGCTGTAATTAAAACTCAACAATAGCACGCGATGTAGCTCAAGCTGTGAATTAATTTCTATAACTTAAAATGTAATTTAGAAATCAGAGTAATCATTATTTATTGGAGGAGTAATAAAAAATAAATTAGTATAATTAAAAATCTTATAAAGAAGGAAATAAAGCTAGTACTGATGAACATCAGGAAATTTTTTAGGCGTAACCGTGCGACGGGAGTGTAAATTTACGTAAATTTGTGTAAATATAAGTTTTTGTAAATGTCTTATGAAAATTTACGAACTTGTGTAAATGTTGTTACGAAATTTTAGTTTAATTTTTTTTTAGGTTTAATTTAGGTTATTTTATAGTATAGTTTATATTTTTATACATAGTTTATTTCGGTGAATTTATTAACGGGAATCGGGATGATTAGTTAATGAGTGGCTGGGAAAGGTTCGGTTGAGGCTTATTAGGCCAAAATTGACCGATCGACAATATTGGTCAGAGGACAAAATTGTCCAGATGGAAAAATTGTTCTTTGAGCATAATTGTCCCAAGTTTTGAAATGTTATATAAAGGATAGGTTTAGAACACGATGAGAGAGTGTGTGGATTTTGTATTAAATAGAGTTAAGATAGTACGAATATTATGTGGAAGAAGACATTTCATTGTTATCGTTTAATATCGTTAATTGCCATATTTCGATTGTTTATTATCACTTATTGACTTTTCGTCATATATCGCTTGTTTATTTTATATTTTTATATATACACTTCTAATTAGTACGTCCTTGATCATTTACCGATTGTTCACTACTGACATATACCATTAGTTTATTGACGTTATTTTATCTACTATCGATTATTATCCGATCCTTATTTATTTTCTGTTACTACCTGACGTATCGGTGGTAACAATGTCAATGATTTGCCTGACTCACGTCTGAATTTTTGGCACAGTTTAAGAGGTCATGTTCTTTTTTTATTTAGTTTTAGGAACATTGTTAAGTGAACGACTGAACGTTCCTTTTTCTTTATTTTATTAGAAACAGCCTCTTGAACTTGAAATGGAAGTCGTTAAAAAAACAAAGAAAAAAACACATTAGTAATGTTTCTAAAACAAAAGAAATAACTTTAAAATGGATTTAGTTTATACTGTAATATCTGGTGATCAAAACAACAATTTATTTTATTAGGGCTTTAGGAGCTTGATGGGCTTGCATATTCCAATTTGGAAATATGTTTTTTCATGTGAACACGTTCAATGTTTAAAACGTTCGAAATGATCGAAAATTTTCAATATACTGTATATCATATTAACGCTTGAGGATGATCTAATGACAGTTTTTTCGAGCGATTGTAGTAGAAGAATAATGGTTATCCTTAATCAAATGAGTCTTATGAAAATTTTATTATAAAGAACGAACGCTCCTTATTATTTAAAAACTTTAGTCATCGTCTATCGATGTGTTATAATAGATTGCCATATATGATTTGGTTTGTAATGCCGACTGATTTATCAATCTATTGATTTTAATATTTCCTTTATACTTGTTATATCAATGAAATTTAATCAGTAATCATTTATTGAAATTTTTCACACAAAATAAGCCTTTTAACAGATCAGGGAAATAATTGATGTAATACTCGTTTGTACCCGATCCAAGTATTACAGTAATTACTATAATAAAAAAAATTGTTATTGTCTCTAATTTTGGCAATTACATATATTTACAGTACGAAAGTACATGTTCAAATATTTTTAATTATTGAAAAGAAACGCTCAAATTGTTTGTAAAAAGATTTGAAGGAGCAATATACACTATTTATCGAAAGTTATAATGTAAGTATTCTTGTAATTTGTTATATATATTTTCGATATTTTCTCATCTTGTATGGATACAAATCGGGACACTGACCCTTTTACTCATGGGTACGTACTATTAAAACGTAACATCCGACCAATAAACCCTTTTTTTTGTGTCATTATCAGATACTTGACGAATTCTATTTATTTCAAAAGTGCAACCATATGATCTATCGTATAATTAATTTACAAATTTTTATGTTATGAAATCTCTACAGAAGATGCGGTAATTGTTTTTTATAATTGTTCCGACGGAAATTTTGCCACATTTAACAAGAAATAAAGCTACAGTTACAAAATTGCAATGTTTCTTTCGTAGATTAATAAATTTTAATTAAAAATATTATAATAAGTTTTATATTTTTAAAAAGAAAATAAAAAGAAAGTATAAATAAGTAAAACCAAAGTTAGTGTATAAACATAAATAAAAAAACGATGGCTTAGTTGTGCCACTGATGTGGCTTCCTGATGGGCTTGTAGGGATTACCCATCAGTCCCATCTGAATCAATTCACAATCATAGCCGATCAGCGCACGTTATTCTGAATTATCTAATAAAATTGCACATCACAAAGTTACATCAAAGCCAATGGGCTGAAAAAATTTTTTTTTTTTTGGATTGTAATTTAATTTAACGAAAAAAAAAAATTGTAAGTTTCTGTCATTTTTTTTTAATAAAAAAGTCTTTATTCATTTGATATTTAATAAAAAGATCTAATTTTTTTTTTATTTCAGTTTTTTTTTCGATAATTTCTATAATAAACAAAGGAGGTTGCAATTATGGAGAAAAAAATTTGTTATTTCAGCCACATCATCTTCGTAACATCCGTTTTTATTTTGTGTTTTGATGATCGTTTACCTGTTTATGAGATCATGATTATTATGATTAATAAAATATTTTTTATTATTTAATAATTAGTGTCCTGTTCAAATATAAAAGGAACCTGAGATCAGGGAATTATTGTACATTTTATTATATTGAATTTCTTATATTGATAAACTACTACTTTAAAATAAATGAAAAAAAACGCGAGAATTTCCTCTCCAAACAGTTGTGACAGTGGAATTAAACCTCCTCGTAAATGGAAAAACTTTGCTGAAATAGGATTCAAAGTTAGTAATATTCAAACTGAAGCTACTGTAGATGGAATAAAGGGTTTTTTTGCTACTCATGGTAGTGTTTATAAAGTAGAAATTGTGACCAGAGAAGCTTATGACTCTGAAAATCCTGAACGTTCAACTGGAACTTCTTATATCATATTCAAGTACGTATTTTTATACATTTATTCTTTTTCAACCCTTTAAATTTCATTTACTTATCCCTTTAAAAATATTTATTTAATTAGACCTGTACCCGCTTATCCTTTCTGGAATAAATCGTTACGCTTTCATGGAAGAGTTTTACAGGTCGATTATCAAAAATACATTCGTAGTTCTGATACTTTTTATTCCTATCCTGCTGAAAGTTTAGAATTGGGTGATTATCTACTACCTGGTATCTGAGGTTAAATTTACTCAATCGGTAAAATTTTCTATAAATTATCAAAAACGAAAAATAATTGTGGAATTGGAGTATGAAGAGCTGATGCACACCTTTAAGCTGAAATCAATTTTAAGGATATAATTAATGATATTTATTCTGAGCTTTACGTTTCTCAACAAAGATCTCGTGGTTCAATTACTATAGAAAATAAATATTCTGCAAAATGTTGGGTATTACATAATATATCAGTATATGCCAAGTCGCTCTACAACAATCGTAATTCTTGATGTAGGGGTAAAACAAATCATTGTATTGGTACAAACTATATTTTCGTACCAAGTGTCAAAAATCAAAAGATAAATTTAATTGGTGTATTGATGATTTTTGGAAACGTATTACAAAAGATGATAAAATGCCTCATTTTCATAAAAATAATGAACAACCTGGTAAATGGCTCGTCTTTAGAATAACTTTTGATTTGGATCAAATTGGAGGTCTTAATCGTTTTAAAAAATTAATTGAGAAGGCCGGTGAATATAATTTGGCTCCTAGAACTTCAAGCATTAGTAATTTTCCATTAAAAATTATTAATGGAACTGAATTATGTAAACATTTTGTGAACCGTAAAATGTTAAACTTTAAAGTTAATTATATGCTCGAATGTAATATTTCTTTTAATTACCTTAATGAATATAACCTTTGTAAAGAATTCTATTCTTTATTATCTCAACAACCTACTAAAGTCTCTCTTAATATTTTGGTTCGAGGAAGAAAAGGATCAATGAACCTTTAATATATTTGCGTTCAGAATGAAGAATTTAAAATATGAAATGCCTAAATATATACCATATTATTGTGGTATGGTGCGTAAAGTTATTGTAACTCCTACTACAAGTTATATTTTAATTCCAACCATGGAAACTTCACATAGGGTGATCCGTCATTTTCATGATATTATAGAAATTCCTGATATGATAGTTAGAAATGGTTTTACTTTTTCTGATGGGGTAGGGAATATCTCTTTTTCATTAGCAAAGAAGATTGCTTATGTATTGGATTTAAAAACTATTCCAATTTAGAATGGCTGGGTATAAGGTGTTTTATATCAGTCAACTAATGTGAAAGATAATCAAGTTCAAGTTCGTCCTAGTCAACATAAATTTGAATCACATTATAATGTGTTGGAAGTTATCAGAGGTTCTACGTTCATCTCAACATATCTCAATCATCAGGCGATTACATTATTGTCCGCATTAGGAATTCCTGATGAAGTATTTATTGAATTAAAAGATTTACGAGTTAGGAAATTGGATAAAATGCTTGAAAGTGAACATACGGCGTTGGATATTTTACAAGGAATGTCGATGAATATGGAATTTCAATCTCACTTGCTGAACTTGTCAAAGCGGGATTTTTAAGAAATAACGATCGTTATTTGATGAATTTTATTTCATTATTTCGTTTCATGATGTTAAGAGACATTCATCACTAAATTTTTTATGCGCAGTATATGCACAAAAAATTACAAAAATGTGCAAGATTTTGTGTTTTATGATAATCGAATTGTGAAAACGCGCATTAATGAAATAATAAATTATAAAATTTTGTTTACAATGTATTTTACATTCAAATAACAATAAAAATAACTAATAACAATGTTAAATAGCGAACATTATAAATTTTATTTTTTAACTGTATAACTAAATCATATTAATGAACATTTAATAATAATAAAGATAACATTTAATAAAATTTATTATTTTAAATAGCGTTTTTTTTTGAACTAATTTGTTTTAAATCATAATTAAATAATAATAAGAAGAATTATATTATAAAAACCGTATTAGATTCGGCGGCCCAAACTCCGTTTCAACCGATTTTTGGAGTCAGTTCCATCAATTCGTCAATTCGACTCATCCCGACTCGTTCTGGTTCGTAGAACCGAACCGATAGAGTCATCTCATATCCCTAGCCGCAGTTCTCCATAGCACCAATTCATCATCACGAATAAAAGAACAACATTCTGATTCAACCCTTTTAACCCTTCTATGATAAAATTTGATTTTAATGTTGAATCATGAATGTAATTTTCTTTTATAAATTAAGAATTTTTTTTTTAAAGAATATATTTTATTGTATAATAATTACATGATTGGAAAAACCAATGTGATGGAGTTTGGAAAACTAACCTGGAATGCTCATTTGAATTGTATGAATTTTTTATAGGTAATTATATTTTCTTTACAAGGAAAACTTTGATTTGATAATTTATAATATAATGTAATACAAATATTTTAAATTAAGAAATGGAATGAAAATGTAATAATTAGATAAAATAAAACTCATAATATTTATTTACAAATATCGTAAAATTTTCAATTATTTTTTAAAAAGAGCATTTTTTGCTAAATCATGATATACCGTCATATGAGTATTATTACCTGTATTAAAATTATATGTTGCATCATGTTATGTTTTGACCTGAGGAATTTTTACCAATAGTAGATTTGTGTAAAACCCCTACGTATTGTTATTATCACCTAACCTACCCTTACGTTAGCGCCAAACTCCGACAAAAATTTGAGGTAGGCATTATTGAACAGAACTTTAATTATGATACTATTATGATCGTGAACTTTATAATTGATAAGATATAAAATATTTAAAAAATAAAAAAATATTTAAGCAATTTATTTGAAAAATTATAAAAACTTTTAAAATATTTTTAACGGTGAAATATTTAAAAAAAAAATCCAAAAATAACTAGCTGAAATAAATTAATACCCCTCCGGCCATCAGCTCACCTTAAATCAATTAAATTTTGATCATGATCATTATATTTTGATTCTGATTGCCGTTTGAAAAAATATTCAAGTTAGTGTCATGAGGTCCTAATAAATCCATTAGTTCCATGGACGCTCTTTGATTATCATTTCTAACGGCAATGTCACATAAAATATCATTCGCAATCCAAGGGAATGATATCATATTTTCAGAAGGATAATAAGGATGGTATGATGCATAATACTGTTACTACCGGTTTCTGTCGTTCGGTAGGTAGTAACAGAAAGAAATATAAGATCGGTTAATAAAGGGCAGGGTAATATGGCGGTTAAGGGTAGATCAGGTGGTGCGTATATAAAAACGATTAGTTATCAAATGTATACGAAAAATCAACGATGTATAACAAAAATTAATAATTGATAATAAATGCTAATGATAGTGAACGATAATAAACAGTAATAAACAGTGTGTAAAAAAAAAATGATAAAATGTGTATGCACAATACGGAAACAGATCAGCGGTTTATTAACAATGAAACAAAATAATACGACATTACTGCCTCTATCTATCGGCGTTCTGTAATATCCGTATATTATCGGCTGGTAATAAAACCTAACTAAACTTTTCTAAACGAATTCAAACTGAACCTTTACAACTATCAACGACGGTCATTTTTATAATGTTAGATTTTTGGTGCAATTCTGTCTTTTCGAACAGAATCGCGGCCAATTGTGGCGATCTGGGCACATTTGTTTATACAGCCACTTATATTCAGCCACTTTTCTATCGCTAAGCTTCCGTTTGTTATCTAATCACTAAATATCTAAAAAGAACTAAAAATAACTATACTAAAAATAAACAAATAAAAATGGAAGATAAAAATAGATAATCATAGATAAAAAAAATAAAACAATAAAAAAATAAACAAAATTATCCCGTGACAATAATACCAAGCATAAGCTTTAGACTCCATTGGTCATGAAAATATTTCATGTTATCGATGAGCGAGAATCCTTCGATTATGTTATTGATTTCTTTCCTCCATTTAGGATATGATTTATTTTGTTGATTGTTGTTATCTGGTTTGTAATTTTTGCTTTTGTCAAAGTTGATGTTAAAATCGCCTAAAATGATGATGATTTGGTATTTTTTGTCGTGTGCTTCTTTGAGACGTAATTCTATGTGTTGGTAACAAGATATAATGAGATCTTTATCTTTTGATGTATCTGCTGGTAAATAGCAGCTGATGATTCTTATGTAATTATTGCCTTTGAAGCACAAATCTATAGTGAGGATGCGTCCTTTGAAGAGATGTGATTTAATCACGTGTTTTTGGAAATTTTGAGAGAATCACGGATACTCCACTGCCTTTGGTAGTTCCTGATGCGTCCGAGTATATAAATGATTTTCAGGTAAGTTAGAATTGTTGTAGGATGGGAGGTCGTGAGAATTAACCGATGATTTATTATTATCCGGGTTAATATTGTGAAGACCAGTTTCTGTTAGTGTTAAGATATCGAAATTCTGTGTTTTGAAAAATTGTAATATATTATTAAGTTTCTGATTAAAGGCGCCATGAATGTTAATAAAGCCTATTTTGTGATAATCAATGATGTGTGTATGAGGTTGCGGAGTTGTGTTATTAGTTGTGTTAGTTGATGATGTTGATGAAGAAAATGTTGATGTTAGTAGATCATCTAGATTTTGCTCTATGTATTTTAACATTTATTCAACTTGTGTATCATAGGTTTCGCGTACGTGTTGGGGAGTGTGAGTAAGTTGTTGATTGAGATCTTGATTTACGGGGAACGAGGATGACGGAGGGTTTTTATAATTAAATGAATATTGTAAACGAGCGTGTTTTGTTGTTTTGGTTTTCGAGGCCAAGAAGATTTTTTCGTTTAGTTGTGTCCTGCATAAAAAAATATTTAAAATTTTCGAAGTGTGTAAGTAAACCTGAATTGGATTGAATATAAAGCCGGTGTCAAAATCGTTGATCGATATTAAGAGGTGAGTAGAGAGAGTAATTAACGGGATCCATAGATCCAATTAATTGGTGTGAAGTCCTTTGATGCATGTGGATGCGGATGGTTCTATTGTTTCATCGGGTTCTATGATGCCTTTGACTGATTCTGGATCGGAGGCTTTTCCGTTTTCGGGGAGGTTATTATCTTCATCCATTTCACTTTCAAATTCTGAAGAGTTTTGTGATCGTAGGGGATATCTACTCTTTACGCTTTGATAGGATCTTTTTTTGTAAGGCGCTGAGCGTTTGGTACCTTTTTTTGTGGTGATGTAGGTTTCTCGTTGTTGTTATTTTGAAAGGCGTTGATGAGAAAATCAGTTTAGTATTGATTGATGAATGTGATGCTTCTAGTTTGTTTTGTCTAGAAGTGACATTGCTAAAATGGGTCGTTAGTTCGTCAATACGATTATTTAATTGGGGATATCTGGATGTCGTTGGTGTTTTGTTGTTTTGTAAAAGATTAAAAGTCTCTGACAATTTTTCAATTTTGGCTTCTAATTTTGCGGTTATCGCGAGCGCTTCTTCAGAGAGATTCGTTGATGTCACAATTATTGTTAGGTATCTAGTTGGGCGATAAGAACGGGTTTACGGTATTATCACTGCTGGTCTGTCTAGAATTCTGATATTGACCATTTGTACTGTTGTTATTTGGTCTAGAGTTGAACTGAATCACATGATTGTAGTTGGTTTTTGCGTCATCATTGATCGTAATCTTTTCTGAGTACATTGAATGCTTTATTTATGACTCTGACACCTAAATCACGTTCCTTCCATTAAAGCCTTGTACTTGCACAATTCTTTCTACACAGCGAGATTCGGTATACCGGAATCTCGATATAACGGTATAATTTCATCGAAACCCATTTGCCGAAGCCATTTCTCCGCCAAAGTGATGTCTCACCGAAGGGAAGTTTCACCGAAAGGACGTTTCACCGAAAGTGTATTTTATCAAATTCATTTCACCGAATCGTCCATTTCGCCGAATTCCATTTCGCCAGATGGACATTTCGCCGAAAAATGGTAGCGATTAACATTTTTACAAAAAATATTCATCGCGCAATGAAAATAAAAATTAACTTAATTTTAGCGATTTTTTTTCCAGGATATTATTACTTCAACATTCAAGTAACTGATATTAATTGTTAAGCAATAAATAAATAAATGGATAAATGTTTTCAGGAAAATAAAGTAAAAAAAAAGATTAATGTATATTATAAATAACGAGGTAAATTTAAATAAAATCAGCTAATTCAAAATTTATCTAGAAATGATTTCTTTTATTATAAAAACAAATAAAATAACCTAATGGAATAAATAATTTTTCGAAGAAATGTCCATTCGGCGAAATGTCCATTCGAGAAATGGATTTCGGTGAAATGGACTTCGGAGAAAAGTCCGGATACCGAGTTTTATTATGCTCTTAGAAAGTAGTAAAAAGGCTCAGTTTAGCAATTTTAAGGTGTTAAATTTATTATTATGGGTTTTTTTATTCAGTTCCAATTTAAACACGAAAGTAAAAAATATCATTTAATTTTTCTTTGACATCTTTTATTAAGAAAGAATTTTGATTTGAAATTAACCAACGGTATTAAAATTAGTTGCGGCGACACATTGTTAAAAATTGGCTCTCGTTTCATGGAATCAAAATTTTGGGCTGGCGGTCGGTATTTTTATTTAAAATTTAATATTAACAAAATTTTTTCACAAAACTAGGTCGACGATTTATCAGTTTAGCCAAAATTACCTATTAGCATTTATTGTAAAATTTTATCAATTTAATACATAACATAATAGAAAAATAATAAGACACTGTAATTGAGGACATGGTAACCATATAATTTTATTTTCACGACTATTTTCAATAGATTTCAATATATTCCCTGGCAAAAGGAGTACAAAAATTTATCAATTTAATACATAACAAAATAGAAAAATAACAAGTAAATTGAGGACATGGTAACCATATAATTTTGTTTCCAGCACTATTTTCAAAAATTTCAATATATTCCTACTCTAAAATATTCATATCAATATCTATCAATATCGCAAATAAAAGATAATCTGCAATACATACACTAATATGACAAATTCATCAAATTTAGAAAATTGGTTCAATAAAACTTCTTTTAAAAGGTTCGGGATTATCATCAATTGTAAATAAGCTTTTGGCTTCTTCTAAAATACGTCTTGAAACTTGGGGATAATAATAACGGTATGAGGGTATATTTAAGTATCTAAAAACTATTAAGGAATTTTTCCGTCTAGCATAAGCTATGATTATTTCTAATATATCATCATTAATACTAGAATCCATACGAATACTGATTTCCCTGAGATGACATTGCATATTACGAAATAAATCACCCAAAATTTCAATCATCATAGATGAATCAATCTCCAAGATTTCCAAAATTTGTAAGGAAGAAGAAAATGAATGAGCCAAATCAACAATTTGATCAGTTCCAAGATAATTATCCCAATCCAATTTTAAGAAAACAAGATAATTCAAACTTTTCAAAAATGAAACGATAGTACAAAGATCATTTTGAAATATTCTAATAAAAAGATGAGTTATATTTGTACAAAAAGGCCAAATTGATTTTGTAAACTTATTAACATTAGAATGAATAATATATTTATCATAATAAAGGGTTTTGAGGTCATAATCCGACATTATAATAATTCTTTTGAATAGAGTGAGAACAGAAAAATAGGAGATTGTAATATGAAAATTCTTGAGATTTTTAAATTTTGAATTAATGGGTTTATCTAATTCTGTAATATCAGTATTTTTATTACAGTGAAAATTAACAAGTTCAATTGTTTCCAGATTTAAACAATGATCCAATATACTAACAATTATGTTAAAATTACGAATTTCATGTAATTTTAAATGAGTTAAAGAATGAGAATGCTTTTTAGCAAAATTCTCATTCTTCACAAAACAAGGTATTTCCAATGATTTCAAATTATCCAACGAAATAATGAAAGAATTTAAAATATCCAATAAATCATTAAATTTAGGATTAAGTTTTTTAAATTTTTGTTGTTTAAATTCTTTCTTCGTAAATGTTAATCGAACATGGTTTATGTTTTTATTATAATCAGAAATGATTTCAGTAAGTTTTGTTGCATTCTCTTGAATAAATTTTAAAATTTCCATTATTTTTACATCGAATTTAAACCCAAATCCAAAGGTAAATTTGTTGATATTTGATAGAATATGACAAAGAATCCTATTATCAAATGAACTCATGTCTATCTGATTTTTTTCATCATTCAAATCAACACTCACGTATTTAAAATTGCTTTGAGCGTTAAAAAACAACTTTTCCATAAAAGGGTTAAGAATATGAACAATACTATTAATTTTATTCTCCGTAGTTGTAGCAGAATAATATTGATAAAGAAAAGACCTCATTGATGTTTGTATATTGAATATTTCAAATTCTTGAAGAAAGCTTGGATAATTAATAAAAGGTTTGGGAAAGTCAAAAACGGAGTTAAAGAATGTCGTGACCTGTTCTTTTTCTTGATCATCAAGACAGGAAAAATATGTTCGAAAGATGAGAGCTTTTTTCGTCTCATCTTGTTTAATATATTTAAATGGGTTTTTCCAAAGTACACGTGCAACAACTTGAAAAAAATCTTGATTTAAAACGACACATGAATATAAAGTTTTAACATCGTGAACAACATACTGAATAATTTCATATATACAGTCAACTGGTAAATTTACTGTACTGGTGATATCTTGGTTTCGCGACATATTTCGTAAAAAAAAAAGAGAAAGAGGTAAAAAAAATTTTTTTTTAATCCGAAAGGTTTATTCCTATTTATGGCGCAAATTCTGTCACACAAACACGAAATTCGAACGTTTCACATGATCTATTGCTGATATATTATTAAATCTCTCTCACAAAAATTTTGAAAATAATTTCATTTCTTATCGTTGTAAATTTACTTAAATTTAAATAAAATCAGTTGATTTATAATAAATATATTTTAAATTAAATTTATTAAGAACATTATCATAACTATTAATCAGGCATCAGATCACGCCTTAAGAAATTTGTGAAACACGATATTTGGAGATCCATTAATACTTTTTATTCCTTCACATTATATTTGTATCCGATGTATAATAATTAGTCCCTTCTTAAAAAATTGCCTCCATCATGAGGTTAGTTAAGAGGATAATATGTTATGTATGGCTTTGGGTCAATATTTCCGCTATTCAAAGTGTCTGGTTGTAAGACGGTGACAAAAAAAATCGATATGATTAGCAATCGCGTGACATCACTGATCAGAACTTTAATAAAATTTTTAGCAAAAAAATAGAGTATGTGTTTTGTTACCACCTTACATGATCGACATAGTATGTTTCGTAAGTAAATATTAACAAAATGGTAGCGATTAACATTTTAACAAAAAATATTCATCGCGCAACGAAAATAAAAATTAAATTATTTTTGAGATTTTTTTTTTCCAGGATATTATTAACATTCAAGTAATTGATATTGATTGTTAAGAAATAAATAAAAACTTTATTTTCCTGAAAATATTTATTTACGAAAAAGTAAGAAAAAGAAGGCTATTAATATATTATAAACAATGAACTAATTCAAAAATTTTTCTAAAAAACACTTCTTTATGTATTTAGTATAAAAACAATAAAATAACCAAATGGAATAAATAATTCCTCGGCGAAATGTCCATTTGGCGAATGGCCTCGGCGAAATGGGTTTCGGTAAAATGAACTTCGCCGAAAGTCCGGACACCCGGTAAAATAGTTATAAGCCTTCCTTATTCAATGTCCAAAACAAACTAAAAAAAAGGCCCTCGGTTTTTATAATTTGAAAAAATTAATGGTAATTTGGAATAAATGTTGGTTTGCGTGATTGAAAAATAATTCTTGATTAAGGGGTCAGAGGCTGTATGTTTCAGCAGCGCCATCGCTAATTAAAATTCTCAAGAAAGTTCGACTGTAATCTGATTGGTTTGTGTGGTTGGAAAAAAAATGAAAATTGGGCCAAAACTTTGATTGGTTAAGTCTCATTATAAATAAGAAAGAATCAGATACGTATTGTGCTTTTTCCGTTGATAATTAGGGTCGGTTTACTTCATTACCACTGATAGAAAATCATGGAAGGTGTAGGTTGATCTGAGCCGTTAGGTATCGATGGTTTTTTGGTTCGTGGGTTTTGTACTATAAGTGTGTCAATGGTGAAGTTTAAAACTATGCTATCGAGTAAGAATTCGTACTGTCCAGGTTGTCTACCTTTTTTACATCGTAAAGATTGTTTAATTTCTTTTCACTGTAGTAGAAAGTGTTCATTCACTGAGATAATTTGATCTAAAAACATAATGTTCTTGTTTTTTAAACTATTAATATATGAAATTTTTTTTTTTTTTTTGGTCAGCAATAAAATTGCTTAAAGGAATTTGACCTCTTTTTGTAAGAAAAATTAAAGGAAAAGATAAAGAATAATATTGAAAGATGCACATTAAAGATTCTATTCTATTGAAATTTTTAATTGGGAACGAAAAAAAAGATAAAATTTTTTGAATATCTTGAGACCATAATTTGTTTTGTGATGATAAAATCAGAAATTTAATTAAAGGAGAGTTACATTGAGCGTTGAATAATGACGCCTGAGCGCGAATTTGATGATCGAAGATATTAAATGTAATACAGAATTATATAAACTTGAACGTAGAATTTTGATTAAATTGTATACATTGATCATGCGCAATACGTTTCTTAATGTTTTAATAGGTTCTTATGCGCATAATTTTGCAATATTTGCGGATGTGAACTTTTTTAAATTTTTTTTATTAAATGTGAAACTAGAGTTTACATAATTTTTAAGAAAGATGATTGATTATTATTATAAAATAATAGTTTATTTTATTATGTAAAATGAATTGCTGTGAAATTTTTTCTTTATATTTTCAGTCCATTTAACAAATTTTAAAATTTCTGATTGGATTTTTTGGGCTTACTGCGGTATTATTGAGCGATGAGCGGAATTTTGGCATAAGCCGCGAATTTATTACTGGGCTTGTGGTCAAATTTTGCGGAAATTACATTGAATAATAAATTTTATTATAATTAGACCTTATAAAAAATTGGACACGTTTTTAATTTTTCTTAAAAATAATTTATCTAATCTATATAGGAATGCAGGAAAATGCACAATTCCATATTACAAAATGCATCATTTGCATGATTTGACATAATTTGTATTTATATTGATTTGATCACAGAATTTACATAATTTGAGCTTAAAATTTACATGAATTTACTGCTTAAATTACAATTATTAATATTAGTTGCATTTATATAAATTGATTTTAATTAATAATATTTTATTAAATTATTAAATTGAATATAAAAATATAAAAATAAAACAAATCCCTAGTATCATGTAATTTTAATTAGCTAATAATATAAATTAATTTTTAACATTTAAAATAAATACACATAAGTTGTAATAAGTGTTCCAAAGTTAATACAGCTACAAAAAAATGAAATCTTATGAAAATTATCATTCAAATAGTTTTAACCCTGCTGAACAACTTTCAATTAATAAAGTAAGTTGATTTCATTTGCCAAAGTGAAGATATTATGCTCTAAATTAGAAAAACAGAGAAGAAAGTTAATATCATCAAGAAAAATGCAATTTTCTCCAAGTACTACACCTACACTCATAAAAATTAATATTCGAGTAGTTTCAACCCACCTGAACAACTTCCAATTAATAAATAAAGTTGATTTCATTTGGCTAAAGTGAAGATATTACGCTCTAAATTAGAAAACAGAGAAGAAAGTTAGTATCATCAAGAAAAATGCAATTTTCTCCAAGTACTATACCTACACTCATGAAAATTAATATTCAAGTAATTTTAACCCGCCTGAACAACTTTCAATTAATAAAGAAAGTTAATTTTATTTGGCCAAAGTGGAGATATTACGCTCTAAATTAGAAAACAGAAAATAAAGTTAATACCATTAAGAAAAATGTAATTTTCTCCAAGTACTACACCTACACTCATGAAAATTAATATTCAAGTAGTTTCAATCCTGCAGAAATTTGATTTCATTTAGCTAAAGTGATGAAATTATAACCTGAAGTTAAAAACAAACACGTGAAAGTAAAAAAAATTTAGAAACTCATGTATCATGAACTGTACAAAATACCTGTAACTTTACAATACACAAGTAATAAAAGTGAGTTAAAAGTGTTTAATATGAGCTAGTTTGTAATAACAAAGTTTTAAATTTTTTTTTTTTTTTTGAAAAAAAAAGGGAAAAATTTTTTTTTTTACAGTTGTAACGAATGTAACGTTAAGTAATATTCATATGATGCAGATGATTACTGACGCAGTGACGCTAGATATAATTTTTTGCTGACGTCTCACGTGATGTGATTTTCTGTGCTGGAAAGATGATGAAATATATGAAAGTTTAAAAAGAGTCCATTCGATTTATTAGCGTAGTCCTAGTTCTTTGAATAGTTTGTCCAAAGGGTGAGGTCCCGTAGGGATGAGGTTCTGAATCCTATACATGTATATTAGTTGATAGACATGTAAATGTTTTCTCGCTTTTATTTGTTGTCCGGAGCGAAGCGAAGGACTATATATGTTTACGCACTATGATGATCTATGGAAATAACGTGTAAATTTTCAATCACGTGAGTTTCTCTGTCCAGGAATTCCAAGGCGTTATGCTGCTAATTAGTAGAATATCGCTACATCTTTATTATTATACCTCGCTCTGGACTTACAACGGTTCCCGTTTCCTAGTAATAGTTTTGGTACTACCACTCTTGTAGTAATAAAATAAAATAAATAAATAAATAAATAAAGTTTAAAAAGAGTGGGATATGTAGAAAAATTCTCTGTTAAACGTCAATATAAATACAAAACCGTTAGAGCTATAACTCGTTTCACCAAATTATATCATGAAATAATATACAAAAACACACCCCACTCGGGTGATCATCAAAGGATATAACCTTATTATTTACGTCACAAGTGCATAGGTTATATCCTTTGATGATCACCCGAGTGGGGTGCAAAAACAGTGGATCAAATATAGCTATCGCAAAAAATGATTTACACTAGATTATCCTCAAAAGGTATCAAAAACAGATACAGCTGGCAAGTTGTTAAAAATTGGATCTGGAAAAGTATAGTAGTATAGCCGATTATCTAATTATTAAAAAATTTAAAGAGAAATACGGAGGCCATTTCGCAAAAATTATCAGAACGACCTGATGAAGACAGTATACGATTCAGAAATTGGGCAACGGACTTCAGATTAAGACAAGATGAAATTATATGATGGAGTTTTTAAGCTGAGAAATCAAAAGACATCTAGCAATATCGTTAATTCTTCTTTGGAGGACGACTATTATTCCAATTCTGTGAAGAAATCCTTGGAAATATTAAATTACTCAAAGGGAAATTCCTACTAGATAATTATTTCACAAATAATATGGTATAATTAATTCATACAAAAAGCCTTTATTTAATTATATTAAGTTTGTTTGTAAACATTTAAATTTAAAGAGTTAGTTAAGCTTTCTGAAATGATGTTAATTAGAAAAATATGGTGACCATTAGATTAGATAGTATAGTGTACTACCACTGCGTACCACTGCAACATACTCTTCCAATATTACTATTTCCTATTTTCTATTGACGAAGGTATATTACGAATATTGTGTTAAAGCAAGATTTTCAAATTAAACGTCTGGAAACAATGATTTTGACAACTTAATACAAGAATGTCAATTGGAAACAC